TACAATGTTACTGTTACATCCAAAGAAGGAACTCCACACAACTTTAGTGCTGTTGGAGTACCAAGCATAACTGATGTGCCAAAGATTAGTGAGAATTTAAAGTTAAAGGTTGAAGAGAAACTGGGTGAATCCATTGACAGGGGAAGTGGAACGGTCGACATCTTAATAGGTATCAACTACCCCAAGATGCATGCTGGGAGATGTGTTGACATGGGCAACTACATTACAAGAAAGTCCCCATTAGGATGGGTATTGTTCGGTACTAACACTGATAAGGCCACGAGTCAACAACAGAATCCAGTGCTTCTAGTAAAATTAGCTCAGCCTGTCGACATGTCAAAATTTTGGTCTACAGAAGAGATGGGGGTAAAGATAACAGAATGTGAATGTACAAGAAAGGACGTTTCACTCAGTCCGGACGACAACAAACGATTTGCTGAGATGTGGGACTCATGTGAGAAAGGCGAAGATGGACGATGGGTCATGCCATACCCTTGGATTAAACCACCAGAAAGTCTACCAAACAATGAAAGCCAGTGTTATGCCAAATTATGTTGCTTAGAAAAGCGACTAAAGAAGACACCAAATGCAGCAGAACAATACAACAAGGCTATTGGAGATCTGGTAGAGCGTGGATTTGCGAAGAAACTCACCAACAAAGATAAAACTGAATACCATGGACCTGTTCATTTTATCCCACACCATGCTGTTATTAGACCGGAAAATGCAAGTACACCTATAAGGATAGTCTTCAACTCCTCGAGTGTGTGCAACGGTGTGTCGTTAAATGATCACTTTCACAAGGGACCTGACCTACTGAATAATCTAATGGGAGTCATCATGAGGTTTAGAGAACACAGGGTGGCTATTGCAGGTGACATCAGCAAGATGTTTTACCAGGTGAAGATTCCACTACAAGATATGCATGTGCACCGGTTTTTGTGGAGAAACTTTGAACAGAGAACTCCTGATACATATGTACTCACCATTGTTACACCAGGTGATAAACCTGCACCAGCCATGGCAATTACAGCTCTTTTGAAAACAGCGAAGGAAAATGAACATGACTACCCTGAAGCGGCAAAGGTACTACAAAGCGACACGTACATGGACGACATTTGCACGTCTGTACAAAGTGAACATTCTGCTGTCAAGATTACAGAGGACATTGACCAAGTTCTGTCAACAGCTGGATTTAAAGTCAAGAAGTGGGTGTCGAATGCTAAGCTTAACCGAAATCAAGACTTTGGTGAACAAGGTGTGTTGACTGGAAATGACGAACAGAAGGTACTTGGAGTTGTCTGGGAGCCTGAAAGGGATGTTCTCAAATACAAGGTACAACAGGATGACAAACCAAGTAAACTAACAAAACGAATAGTCTTAAGCGCGATTTCCAAAATCTTTGATCCCATCGGATTTGCAGGAGCCTTTTTGATCCGTGCAAAGATTATGATTCAGCGACTGTGGTCTACTGGAATTGGCTGGGATGATGGACTTAATGCTGAGGAGACAACTAACTGGCTTAACTTTTTTAATGAGATGAAAGGTTTGGATGGCGTTTCGTTTGTAAGGTGTTTGATTCCTGACCCGAATGCCAAGACATTACAATTAGTTATATTCTGTGATGCCTCCGAGACTGCTTTCGGAGCTGTGGGCTATACACGGTTGGAGATGTGTGATGGTTCAGTTTGTGTAAAGTTTCTGACAGCGAAGTCTCGCGTTGCACCTCTCAAAGTGTTAACAATTCCAAGACTGGAACTGCAGGCAGCAGTATTAGCCACAAGACTCTACACTACTATAGTTAAAGAAATGTCGGTGAAGTTTGAGAAGGTTATATTCTTATCGGATTCTATCATCGCACTATCATGGATTAGAGGGCAATCGCGCCAATATAAGCCATTTGTCTCAAACAGGGTGGCTCAAATTCAAGGTAGCACAGACCCGTCGGACTGGCGACACATCCCAGGTCAACACAACATCGCTGACAAAATATCTAGAGGTGTGTGTGTAAGTGAGTTAGATGGAGTCTGGAAAGAAGGCCCGTCATTTCTCAAGTTACCAGAAGATGAATGGCCAAGATCTATTCCAAAGGCAAAAGAATCTGATGTAGATTTGGAGAAGAGAAAGGTCAGAACTGTGCTGGTGGTCCAAAACCATGAAAAGTCAATCGATGAAAATAAATATTCAAGTTGGAGAAGACTAGTCAGAGTTACGGCTTATGTCTTTAGATTCTTAACCAATGCTAGAGCAAAATGCTGTGTGGATGATGGTCCACTCTCAGTCCATGAATTGATGGTTGCGGAGCGATATTGGATAGTGGAGGCACAGAAATCCCTGGAGACACTTAAAGAATACAAGACACTCAGCCCCTTCAAGATGAGCGGTGTAATCTATGTTGGTGGACGCACTGGAAATCGAAGATTATCATATGATCAGGCATATCCTGTTCTTCTCCCAAGGTCCCATCATATCTCCTACTTGATAACAAGACATGTACATGAGACCGGACACTATGGCGTTGCTACAACTGCTGCCAAAGTAAGACAGAGGTTTTGGGTGATTAATGGTACCACACTTGCCAAGACTGTTAAATTCCGATGTACGAAGTGTAGAGCATTTGCTCACAGGACCGAGACACAGATAATGGCAGGACTTCCATTGGAACGTATGACACCCTTTTCCCCTCCATTCCTGTATACTGCATGCGATTATTTCGGACCTTACCATGTAAGAGTAGGAAGAAACAAGACCACTAAACATTATGGAGTGATATTTACGTGTTTAGTTACTCGAGCAGTACATTTAGAGCTAGCGGTTGACTGTTCAACTCAAGAGTTTATCCAGGTTCTAAGACGTTTCTATGCTATCAGAGGACAGCCAAACCTCATACAGAGCGACAACGGCACACAATTTGTGGGAGCTGAACGTGAGCTGAGAATGATGATAGCCGGGTGGGATAAAGAAAAGCTAACTGAATACTGTGCCGAAAAGAAAGTCACCTGGAAATTTACAACCCCTTTGGCACCACATCACAATGGCTGCGCAGAATCTCTTGTAAAGAGTTGTAAGCACGCATTGAAAAAATCCATAGGTGATCAACTGCTGACCCCATTCGAGCTGTACACTTACTTGCAGGAAGTAGCTAATTTAGTCAACTCAAGACCGATAGGAAGAAAACCTAACGACCCTGATGATGGATCATACATCAGCCCGAATGACATCTTGCTTGGAAGGTCATCCAGTCATGTGCCACAAGGCCCCTTCAGGAAAACTAAAAACCCGCAGAAACGTGTTGAATATGTGCAAAGGTTAGTTAATGACTTTTGGAAAGTCTGGAACAGAGACGTTTTTCCCTTACTAGTACCTAGACGAAAATGGAATGTACAGAGAAGAAATGTACGTGTAGGTGACATTGTCATGCTAGCCAATCCAAATTCTGTACGAGGAAAATGGACTATCGCAAAGGT